GTACTATATGGTATTTATTTATCTATTTACATGTATGTATATGTTTAATCATGTATTATTTATTTATTTATTTATTTCGTTAGTTTGTCAAGGAACAGTGAGAGGATTATTGTCATGTCCATCCACCAGCCAAGATATTCTATTTACAAACAGTTTGACTCTCTCACTCTTCTCTCCGAGGGGAACATGGTCTATCATGGAGCAATAAAGGAGACACTTCCATATTTTACTAACCTTGGTAAGAGGATATAGTATAGTCTCTCTTAATGGACACTCTCTATTGTGTACACCTCCATTTAACAATTGCATTAGTACATGTACATTCCTTACTGCATAAAATAACCTCCACATAAAGGACACCTCTGTATAACAGAGTAATTGTCTTATACCAAAGTATCCATTATATAGAGGCTACACTGTACATGTACATGTGCAGATACATAATGTTATGTTAATGTTGTTTTTGGTTTTAGGGTATGTTTGTGAGGAGCATGACAATCCTGCTGACTTCCTACTTGATGTTATTAATCAGTGTGAAGGACAGACATCAGCCACTGCAGGTATACACAAAAATGAATAATAAAAACCAGGGGAATACCGTAGGTCGGGATATATTTGCGGCTGCTTATTTTCACGATTTTTTCCCGCACTCAGTAATTACCATGGTTACCAGATGCAATTTTAATTGAAAAATCCGCGATATTAAGAGCAAAGGACTCTGTTGCAGTGTTCTTGGGTTGTTGTTCTTCTTGTTTTTACTAATCTTGGGTCTCTTTGGAGCTGTTTTAACCAGAGCTACTCTCCTCACTCTGCCTCGCCGTATCTTGGCCCATTCTTGGGACTCCCCACCCATTTATTAACTTGGGTGTGGTTAATTATCACCAACAAGTGGAGCGGCAAGGATTTCCAGCAAAGAGCTCGAAGGTAGTGGTCCATACAAGAAGATAGCGGATGGAGAACTGGATGGCTCCCACTAAAGCTGCTAAAGAATAGATAATTAGCTGCTGAACACTGTAATTGTATAAACACGTGGTCTTATTGTCATAGCAACAATCAATTTGTTTCCATGGTATTTAATTGAACCTTTTTATTAGTTTTTATTATCGTGAAAATAAGCAGCCGTGAATATATCCCGACCTACGGTATAAACATTGAGGGGGCGAGCATGAGCCATTGATTGACATTTGTGACTATGATTTAAATAAATAAATCAATCCAGTTCGTTTTTAATTTTTATTAATTTCATTTTTTTAATTTACTTTTTTTTCATTTTGTTTTATAATTTTTCTATTTTTCCTATTTTTTTTCTTTTTTATATTTTTAATTTTTATTATTTTTGTTATTTTTTATTAATTTTTTAATTTTTTAATTTTATTTTTTGTCATTATTTTTTATAATTATTTATATTTTATTTTATTTATTTTATTTTATGTTTATTTTATTTTCTTTTTATTTTTATTAATTTTTTTGTTCTATAAATTTTTTTTCTAATTTGTTATTTTTTCAATTTTTTATTTTTATTTTAGTTGTATTCTTGTTTATAAATTTTTGTCATTATTTTTTATTTTTACAATTTTTTAATTTTTTGCTTATTATTATTATTATTTTTTTATTATTTTATTTAAATATTTGTTATCATTATTAATTTTTAATTTCTTTTTATTAAAAAAATTTTATATTTATTTTTAATTTTAATTTTAATTTTTCTCATTTTTTATTTACAAATTTATTTATTTCTTAATTTTTTATATTTATTTATTTTTCTTATTTTATATTTTATTTACATGTATGCATGTATATTTTTATTTTATTTTTATTTTTCTCATTATTATTGATTTCTTTACTTTCTTTTTATTTTTTTTTATTTTTTAATTTTACTGACATACTAATTTTACCCCCCTCCCTCTCCTTCCCACAGATCTGTTAGCTATTGAGTCAGAGATGGTTCCTATTGATTTGTCCGATAGTTACATGTACCTAAAGTCCAGAGAGTATGGGGACACTAGGAGAGAGTGTGATAGGATCATTGAGGGACTGGAGAAGAATGAGCGAGGAGTTAAGTTCAGTGGTTTAAGAGGAAAATATGCTACTAACTTCTTCTGGCAGGTAATTAATAATTTCACAATTTTAATTTTATAAATTATATACATTTAGCAGTTTTTATGAAAAATAAAAATTGA